AAAGGAAAAACATACGGGACTCGGAGGTGTGATTTTAGATGAAGACTGCCTAACCCGTTTATATTTCTATCAGAATAATTGTAACCCTAGGCCAGGAATTTTAGTTTATTCCGGGTGCCTTACAGGTCGTGACTCATCATTTAGTACGGGCTTGCTTTTTGTCTATCATCTAAAATCGTTTGTAAAATTTTAACAATTCAAAAAATTAAATGCAAAATGGTGATACCTGACCGTGGGTATTCCTTAGAAGTAATATCTCTTCAAATGAACAGCATTCCATTGTGAAGGTAGTACTTTGCCATCCATTGTCTCCAATTCATATGCTCCCTTGCCTGCAATATCACGAACTCTATAGGGTCCTTCCCAAGTTGGACTTAATTTACCCGTGTTGGCTGCCTTTGTAGATTGAAAAACCTTTTTAAGCACGAAGTCCCCAACTTTGAAGAATCTGAGGCATGCTTTTCTGTTGTAATATCGTTCTATAACTTGTTTATGTGCTGCCATTCTTATTAATGCAGCTTCCCTTCTTCCTTCAAGTAAATGGAGGCCTACCCGCATTTCTTCATTATTAGACTCGTCTGTTGCATGTGCAAACCTCGTACTTGGCTCTCCTATCTCGACTGGAATTAAAGCTTCTGCTCCATAAACCAACGAAAATGGTGTTTCTCCCGTACTTGTTTTTGTTGTGGTGCGATATGCCCATAAAACACCAGGTAATACTTCTGGCCAATTTCCTTTTGACTCTTCTAAACGGTTCTTCAAATTGTTGATGATAATCTTGTTTGTTGACTCTGCTTGCCCATTCCCCACCGGATGATAAGGTGTTGATGTAATCCTTTTAATTTGCCAGCTTTGAAAAAATTATGTGATTTGAGCTCCTATGAACTGAGGGCCATTATCACATACGATTTCCTTTGGTACACCGAATCGGCATATGATATTGCGCCAAATAAAATCTCTGACTTCTTTTTCTCGTACCTGTTTGAATGCTCCTGCCTCTACCTATTTAGTAAAATAATCAATAAGTACGAGCAAAAATTTTACATGTCCTTTCGCTTGTGGCAATGGACCCACGATATCCATTCCCCATTTCATAAATAGCCATGGTGCGATAACCGAATGTAATAACTCCACGGGTCTATGCATATTGTTACCGTACCTTTGACATTTATCACATTTGGCCACGAAACTTTCTGCTTCTTCTTCCATTTTAGGCCAGTAATAACCTGCCCTAATTAAGGTTCTTACCAGCGATTTTCCTCCGGCGTGATTCCCACAGTGCCCCTCATGTATTTCCCTCATTACGTACTCCGTTTGAGAGGGTCCGAGACATCTGGCTAAGGGGCCACCAAACATTTTACGATATAGGTTGCCTTGGTTTAAGCAGTAGCGGGCAGCCTTTTTTTGAAGTGCATGGGCTTTTTTCTTGTCATCAGGGACGGTTCCATACTGCAAAAAAGCTACAATCTCGTTCCTCCAATCCCAAGTTAAATTATTAAAATTTACCTCATTCTTGTCAGGGTCGAGAACTGAATGAAATAAATGAATAACTGAGGTGTTTTCATCACTTGCTACATCAGCTGCAGATGCGAGATTAGCTAAGGCTTCTGCCTCGAGATTTTCATCCCTTGGTACTTGCATAACTTTCCAGGTTTGAAACTGCTCTATTAATTCCCGCACCTTTTCTAAACACTGTTGCATCCTTGTTTCCCTGGCTGCATAAGTCCCCAGCATTTGATTAACCACGAGTTGTGAATCGCTTTTGATTATAATCTGATTTATGCCAAGTTCTTGTGCCAATTCTAAACCTGCAATCACAGCCTCATACTCTGCCTCATTGTTAGTTATTGAATGACATTTGATAGCTTGTCGAATGGTTTCACCCGTAGGTGGTACCAAAACAATCCCTAAACCTGCTCCTTTTACATTAGATGAACCATCAGCGAATAAAGTCCAAGTTCCTGGATTAGCTCCATTGAGCACCTTTAATTCTTTTTGTGCTTCTAATTGCATGCCGTGGCTAAAATCAGCCACGAAATCAGCTAACACTTGTGATTTTATAGCAGTTCTAGGTTGGTACGTGATTTCGTATTCACTTAACTCTATTGCCCATTTACGCCAAACCNTAGTGAGTGTTTCACCAAATTTGTTGACTAATACAGATTCGATCTCCTGCTTAGTCAAATCATTGCCTTTTACGCCTGTTGTGAACGCAGTCACGTGGTCTCGCGGGTCTGTTGTACCATTGTATTTTGGCATCTCAGGCATTTTGAATTTCTTTGGGACTAGAAGGGGAGCAACACTTGGCTTCCAAGGTTGTTGTGAATATTTATCCATATCTACCCCTTTAATCATTGGTGGCACCCCGGGTATTTGCTCTATGCGGTCATTTTGCTTCTTGAGCTGTTTCTGCAATGTTAGTACTAAATTCTGTAAATTAGAATTAACTAAATTACCTGGTTCTCCCTCCTGTGATACGCTGGGGGTTCCACCACTACCTGAATTAACGAGTCCGGAACGAGGGTTCTCTAGAGTGTTGTTATTTGGTGTGGGTGTAGGTGGTGCAGCAGGTAATTGGCTAACAAAAGCCTGAAGAGCTTTATTGACTTGAGAGGCAATAAGTTTTTGTAAAGCCTCATCCATAGTTTCAACATTCTCGAATTGAGCCTGTCCATCTGTATGAGACCCATCAGGAGTGCCTTCACGAGACCGCCGTGGAGAGCCTTGAGGAGAAGTAATCAGTACGTTATTGTTATGTGGATCTCCCTGAAGTTGCTGGGTTGTTTGATTTTCTTGGTTTCCCTGAATGTTGTCATTGTTGTTCGACATGGTTGACGCAACAAGGGAAGTTAGGCTAAAATAAAATGGATTATCAGATTCCCGGTAACCGAACCAATTTGTTTAACCAAAAATAGAATTTTGACTAAAGCTATATTTTAAAAGAACACGGGTTATTGATAATCGCAATAATATATAAAAGAGAATAATTTGAATAGCCAGAATATAATTGAATAAAGCAAGTAAACCAAAGTATATTCAGATGATTTTTTGTGTCCCTACAATTGTTCAGTCTTCTCCTTTTATAGCTATCTTAGATGTAAGTGCCTTGCTTTGGTCATAATAAGGTTATTATGGGCAAATAAATGACATTGAATGCTACGTTACATAATCATTACATTTAAGACAGATTCTCTAACGTTTTCAGCATTTAATGCTTATCAAATATTGTATTTGGACCCTCGTATGCTGTCAGATTCATTCCTTCTGATTCTGTGATATAAATGACTTAAATAGGTACGGGCGCCGTGTTACTTGTCTGATGTCCCGTGCATCTTCCTCTTTCCTTGCTCGTATCTGTTGTAACTCTTGACTCGTGGTTAATTGTGATTCTTTGACCATTTGATTAATCCACGTGTCTTGACACGTCACCTTTATATATAAATATAATTTTTCCCAATACAAAAGCTTCAGCAGTGGAAGAATTTAAAGATTTATTTTCAATTCCCACAAATAGTCATTTAAATTATAGTTTTTCGTCAAAAGTTATTAAATTAATTCTTATTACTATAAATCCACTCAACTTAAATAAATATGACCAGTAAACCAACTAAATTTTATCGAAAAGTACATAAACAACAGTTAAAATGCCATGATGGCTTAAATCGCAAGATATAATATTACACGTATCCTTTTGTATTCTAATATTTGTCGTTTGTTACTTTCTTATTATTCTGTCCTGAAGTTACTTCTGCAAAAATATCGTAGCGAAGGATGCTGTTGAGTCAAATGGTGAAGTTGATTAAGAATAGTTGTAAATTTCTCTAATGCATTCGAGGTAACAATATCTAGTTGATAAAGATTGTTTTTTTCTCTCTTAAAGAAGAAAGAAGATGTTGATTGCCTCATTTTCCAGTTTTAAGGCTTTTTATTATATTTCTATTTACTTTATCATGACCCCAAATGATTGACGACTTCTTTTGGAGTAGGGATTCTTTCTTTATTAGATTAGCTAAATAGAATCATCAGTTAACATATTTATAAACTTAAATTATTTTCTTTAAAATCTATTCTACAACGCAAATATAATTTTTAATATAATAATATTATAATTTTAATTTTTTTATACTTATTGAGATGAGGTGCACGCAATAAGACTAGTACTATTTAAAAACTATTTTGTGAATGGGTTCATTTGTTCAGCCCATACTTTAAATGTGCAATGTTAACCTAAATTCCCACGAACCCAATTACTAAGCTAAAAATAGCCAGAGAATATATAATAAATGTATAGTTATTATATAATATATTATTATATATAATTAGTGTATAATTTATGTATATTGACTAGAAAAAATAAATATTAAATCGGGTAAATTTTAAAAATAGTCAGATTTACAACCGGTCGTTCAAAAATAGCCCAATTTCAAAAGTAATCGAAATTTAGCCACTTTTTATATAAAGATAAATCTGAGCGAAAACACTGTTCAAAACCCGGAAAATACTCCAGTATATTATGCTGGAGTTCCAGCATAAGTATACTTGAACTCCAGCATATTATACTGAAGTTCCAGAATAAGTATGCTGGAACTCCAGCATAATATGATGGAGTTCCAGCATAAGTACACTTGAACTCCAGCATAATATACTAGAGTTCCAACAAGTATATTGGTCCAGTATAATATACTGGAGTTTGGAGCACCGGTGCTCCAGTCTCCAGTATATTATACTGGAGTCAGCAAAGTATACCAGTCCAGCATAATATGCTGGAGTTCATACACAAGTGCACCGAACTCCAGTATATTATGCTGGACCGATCTCTATTGCAGCAAAATAGTGGCTATTTTTCATTGACTTGGTAAACGCTGGCTATTTTTGATTGATCAGTCCGAAAACTGGCTATACCGTGCTATTTTTACCATTAAATCCGGTAGACTATTTGGGTAACCCAACTGAATATATTTTGGGCCTTAACCGAAGCAGCCCAAGAGTTATAGCAGATTCACCAGCTATTTTCACAATCGATCTCTTTTTCTTGTTCTTCAAGCCTTGGCTATTTTCACACTCTCTCTTTCCGATTCCGAACTTTACCTTTTCAGCTCATCATCTGCAGCAAGTAAGTCGCTACTAAGAACTTTGATTTAAGGGTTTTAAGTTTCTTAACGATTCACAGTTCCATTATACTGCATTCCTGTCTTTAACTTTTGCTATGTGGGTAGGTTTTATTTGGAGGTAAAATGACGGCTAAGGCAACAATGGATGTTCCCCAAAAAGGTGGGTTTAGTTTTGATTTGTGTAGAAGGAATGAGATGCTGGTCAATAAAGGACTCCGTTCTCCTTCTTTTCTCAAGACTGGTACTACCATCGTCGGCTTAATTTTTCAGGTCCGTTCCCCTTTTTTAATTTGCTAAAAGTTTAGATTTGGGTTAGTTTTGTTTGTGTTTTATGGGTCTATTGTTGGATTACGTAAGTTAAAGGTTCTTACTTTGGAAAAAATTTCAAAATTTAATGGTTTGATGTGGTGAATATTTCTGCAAAGAATAAAAACACTACAAGCAAGCTTTCAGTATTAGGGTTATAGCCCCAGGGATAGGGGTGTTCATAAAAACCCAAAAAACCGAACCAAACCAAAAACCAAACCAAACCGACCAAAAAAACCGATACTTTTTGGTTTGGTTTGGTTTGGTTTGGTTTTGGTTTTGAATTTTAAAAACCGATCAAATTTGGTTTGGTTTTGGTTTTAATAAAAAAATAATCGAAAAAACCCGAACCAAATCGATTATAGGAGTAGCTATTTCAAATTTATTATTACACCTATATATATGTATATTTTTATACAAAGTTTCAAAAAATTATGGTGAATGTTAATCGTTTGCACTTTTAGTACAGTTTTTTACCTTTATATTCTAGTTTGATTGGTAGTTTTCTTTTGTTAAGTGTAAGAATTCATTTCATGTTAAAAAAAATATATTTTTAATTGAGTCCTTAAATTATTCATCACTATTTGATTCAATTATCATCAATATATTTTAGTAAATAATAGATTTCTCAAAGGGCAATTGATTTGATAGTGTTACGTTGAAAATGTGGTTGCCGGAATATGTGTTTGGTAGTGTATGTCTTATATTTAAGAAAAAACCGACAAATAACCAAAAAAACCGAAAAACCGACAAAATCCGACATAAACCGAATTGAGAAAAAACCGACTTAATTGGTTTGGTTCTAATATTTGAAAAATCGACTTACTTGGTTTGGTTTCTTTTTAGGGAAAAACCGATCCAGACCGAACCATGAACACCCCTACCCAGGGGCAGGGGCACGGGATAAGTAATATTCCTGATCTTCATCCGGATCAATGAGTCAACCATGCCTCATCCCAAAGTTTGTTAGGGTCGGCTATATGAATCTCCTTATCTGTTCTACATTATTGGGTTCATTTCATTCCAACACTAAATCATGGGTTCTCGAAAAACAAAGGATTTTTTTTTATAAGTAAAAACAAAGGATTATAACATGGTCAGTGATGATTCAACAACCCACCGAACTTTTTTGGGATTGAGGGTTAGTTATTGTCGTAAGTAAAAACAAAGGATTCTTAGATCTCACACAATTTTCATGTAGACGTTTGAAAATATGGAATACTTTAGAGAAAATGCATAAAGACCCCATTGAACTTGTTCGGAAAAATCATTTACACACCTTAACTTTACGGGTGTCCTAACACCCCACTATTCTTATCTAGGCTAAATTTAATACCTCCTTCAAAATACCGAACCACTCTTATGGTGGGCTGTGTTTAACACGCGCCATGTATTAAATACTGCACTAGTTCATTTTTTATTTACTTTTTCCATCTTTTTTTCATTTCAATCTTCTCCACCTTCCTTCATCATTATTCTTGCAGCCCGCCACCATGGAAGGCAGTCACAGCAATAACCTCCCTTAAACCCATAAACTTTATTTCTGAAAAATCAAAACCACCTCCCCCTACCACTCCACTTTAACACCTCTAATTTGACCATTTTTCCTTCACATCAGTCTCACAAACCCAGATCTAAGAGAAAAGGAGAGAAAATTCCTTGTACAAAAAATGGTATTGGCGAACATCAAGCTCTCCAATCAAGTGTTAAGATTATTCCAACCTAAATCCATGACCTAATTGCTTAAGAGAACTTATGTTTCTATCAAATCGAGGAGATTAAAGAGAGAAAATATGAGCAATGAAATGGAGTTTGTAAAGGTAGGTGAATATAGTGGGGGAAAAGAGGAGTGTGAATAGAGATTCAACAAGAAAAAGAGAAGCAAAAAATAAAACATGACTAGTTTCAAAGCATGGGGAGGAAGAGGATGGCACGAGATGACAATGGCAGGCCAGTGGAGAACCATGGTTCTGTTAAAATAAAGAAAGAGAAAAAGAAACGAAAAAGAAAAGAAAAATGAATAAGAAAAGAGAAAAAATTAGTATTAAGTTTAATTAGTTAGAGTATCCAATAGGAAAGTGACACCTGGACAATTAAATTAGTTGTAAGCTGTTTTTTTGTGCCTCACGCGCATCTAGGAAATGAACTGCACTTTTCATGCCAGGTCATCACTCAATGGGGTATTAAATTCACTTAAGATTAGAATAAGGGGTAAAAGGTCGCCCATAAAGTTTAGGTGTGTAAATGATTTTTCCTGACAAGTTTAATGGGTACTTTATGCATTTTCTCAATACTTTACCATAACTGACCATTATTATCTATTACGTGACCATTATTATCTATATTCCTCCCGAGCTTCAAGACAGGAAAGCTTATTCATTTCAACATAATAAACATTCATAACCCAATTCCACTCACTCTACTCAATGTTTTCAGTTCAAAGTCTTCTCTTTCTAAATATTGTTTGTTCTGTTAATCTGATGTAGCAAGATCTTGCACCTCCTACAGCTTACCGCATGTATTAAAAAAAGAGAAGCTATTTTTCTTGCTAAAAAGTGAGATGTATGCCTCAATCTGTGAGGCGAACGCCTTATAGGACTTATTTCTTTAAATGTGCTAAAAAAATCAATATGATCAATGATATAGAAAAAATAGGAAAAAAGAAAAAATAAGCAAGAGAAGCTACATTGATGAAAGTTGTGGTCAAAAGGGAGAGAGGATCCGGCATTAGGGGAAAGGCTGCTGCTTTTTGCAGATTAGGACGCGCACTTTGCTTTTCTTTAAATACATAAATAAACAGAGAGAATTTTAAATGATCTTATGATGGAAACACCTCTCATTAATTGGCTAAGGGCAAAATTGAAGTAAAAATTAAGGCCTCACTCAAATATGGGTACTCCTTGTAATAAGGGTGTCAAAACATCAGACCAAAACCATACAGGTGGAGGTCTCACTCAAGAAAGCTAACTCAGCATAATTTCACCTCTGCCATGCATAAGGCATGTTGGCAATGCCTCTTGCATTGTGGTGCGCCTATATAACACTGCTCAGACCTAATTCAGTGCAAAGAATAAAAAAATTACAAGCAAAGCTTTCAGTATTAGGGTTATAGCCCTAGGGGCAGGGGAACGGGATACGTAATATTCCTGATTTTCGTCCAGATCAATGAGTCAACCATGCCTCATCCTAAAGTTTGTTGAGGTCGGCTATATGAATCTCCTGTCTGTTCTACATTATTGGGTTCATTTCATTCCAACACTAAATCATTTTCCTTTAAAGGTAAACTAGGGGTTCTCGGAAAACAAAGGATTCCTTTTTTTTTTTATAAGTAAAAACAAAGGATTATAACATGGTCAGTGATGATTCATACAGCCCACTGAACTTTTTTGGGATTGAGGCTTAGTTGTTGTCGTAAGTAAAAACAAAGGATTCTTAGATCTCACACAATTTTCATGTAGACGTCTGAAAATATGGAATATGTTACCATAACTGACCATTATTATCTATTAAGTGACCATTATTATCTATATTCCTCCCAAGCTTCAAGACAAGAAAGCTTGTTCATATCAACATAATAAACATAGATTTATTATATCCCAATTCCACTCACTCTACTCAATGTTTTCAGTTCAAAGTCTTCTCTTCTAAATATGGTATGTTCTGTTACTCTGATGTAGCAAGATCTTGCACCTCCTACAGCTTACCACATGTATTAAAAAAAGAGAAGCTATTTTTCTTGCTAAAAAGTGAGATATATGCCTCAAGCTGTGAGGCGAACACCTTATAGGACTTATTTCTTTTAATGTGCTAAAAAATCAATATGATCAATGATACAGAAATAATAGGAAAAAAGAAAAAATAAGCAAGAGAAGCTACATTGATGAAAGTTGTGGTCAAATGGGAGAGAGTATCCGGCATGAGGGGAAAGGCTGCTGCTTTTTGCAGATTAGGACGCGCACTTCGCTTTTCTTTAAATATATAAATAAACAGAGAGAATTGTAAATGATCTTATGATGGAAACACCTCTCATTAATTGGCTAAGGGCAAAAATGAAGTAAAAATTTGAAGGCCTCACTCAAATATGGGTACTCCTTGTAATAAGGGTGTAAAAACATCATACCAAAACCATACAGGTGGAGGCCTCACTCAAGAAAGCTAAGTCCTCAGCATAATTTAATTTCACCTCTGCCATGCATAAGGCATTGGCAATGCCTCTTGCATTGTGTGCGCCTATATAACAATGCTCAGACGTAAGTCAGTGCAAAGGAATTTATTATATTTACAGAGCAAAAAAGAGGGAGCAAAGTTTGTTCTCCTCATCTGGCAATTCTGAGATGTTTGGATTCTAGCACAGAAGTTGTGAAATAAGAACCATTAAGAGCAAAGATGTTTTAACGTTATAGTGGTCCAAGCTTACCTTAGTTTCGTTTGATTACATTCACAAGAAATTCTTCTCAAAATAGTGTTGTGTTGAAATTAATTATACTGTAATCGTTCAACATAATCAGCAACTGACTAGAGCGTACAATATGGTGACTCTTGAGCTGGTTGCTTGTATGATCTGCATTCTTTTGCGTTGCTAAATAATTTAGTTCATCCGACGGAAGTTTGACATCAACACTACTGTGAAAAAGGAGGAAAAAACATATTAGAATGTCATTTAATGCTGCATGGATTTCCTTGTAAGTTCTTGCTCAAAAAATGTATTTCATATTAAGTTAGTAGTCTAACCATATGCATGAATCGTCTGCAATCTGTGTTCTTTTTAGGCAGAATACACATTTTACCCCTGGGCTTGAGGCCTAATTCCTGTGACAACCATGTCGACCACGGGTAACCTTTTACACACTCACAATGTGTCTGAGACACCACTTTTGACCAGACCACTTCTTCTCGGAGATTATATCACAGTGGCCAATTAAAGCATGACACGTGTCACAGCTCAAGAAAAAAAAAATCTAATTTGCACCCCAAATGGCCAAAAATAAAATAATTTTGAAGTAGAAAAACATAAATGAATCCCTCCCCCACCTGTCTCCTCTTCTTCCAAACCCCACTTTTGATCATCTTCTCCACCTCCTTCCCCAAAGACAAATTTGAAACCCTCCTCTCCATCAACCCGCTCCTTCTGTTTGTTTACCTCTATTATAGTTAGTTTTAGACCCCATGAAAACTCATCAATAATTCCAAGAAATTCAACTCACCCAAAATCAGAAATACTCAAAAGACTATTTTTTTCCCAGATATGTTCTTGATTCAATCAAGAATTGGAACATAGTCCTGTTTCCTTCTCAAAAAGTCGTGTTTCATGGAATGGAGTATTATTTGATAAAAAAAGAAAAATAAGGAAAAGATAAAATTCATCTTCCAAATCTAGAGTTGCCGGTGATAATGGTGGATTCATCGCTGTCGGATTTCAGCCTCAGTAGCTTCGTCGGTGATTGATTTTAATGGCTAAATAGTAGTTATAGAGGAGCCTACTCACTCACCAATCTTGCCTATTAATTATGCATGGACTTTGATCTTATTTATTAATACCAAGAATCTGATCTTTCAAAAAAGAAAAGAATTTAAAACTTTTGCATCTGGAAGTTGAAGAAAGAAGGGTATATGACATTATGGTAATTTTGAAGGAGGACGGTTGCATTTATAGAAAGTGGCCGGTGGTCTTGATGGAAGAGGGCTAGCGTTAGGGAAGATGAAAGTAAAGAAAACAAAAGAAAAAATAGGAAACCGATAAAATTTTGACACATGGCACTTAATAAGGATTTGGACCAATATTTACCGATTGTATGCGCTCATTTTGTTTGGTTAAACAAGTGCGCACCACCTGGCAAAAGTGGTTTGTATCTAAGTTGCTCGGACTCGGGTGCGGGTTCCGATACGGGCACGGATCCGAGTGTCGGATTTGGCGAAATCTAAATTTTAAGATTCGGGAGTGTAGGTCCACATATGGATATGGGTGCGGGGATTCGGCTAAGAAAATTCAAAATTATAAAAAATAGAGCTATAAAGAGAAAAAGAAAGCCATTCAAAGCCTTCCACCAATTCTCCATCTATATCGCTGCTACTGTCTACCAGAAGTCCGAACTCAGAACACGACCCCTTGAATTTTTGGTTTTTCTGAAACACAAAGCAGCAAATTTGAGACAAATGTACTACAATATTGAAGGTATGCCATTTCCCATGTCTTAAATCTGTTTTATTTTTAATTTTGAGAAATCAAAAATCTCAAAATTTCCCCCAAATTTGTCGATAGACTCAAGTCAAAGTATCCGAAGTTAGTTGACCGGATTCGGGACGTATCCCGCACCCGACACCTGTCCCCTGTCGAGACAGGTGCGGCACCAAAAACGAAGAGTCCTCGCAACTTAGGTTTGTATAGGCACACTTTGAAAAGGTTGGGTGTGTAAAGGGTCCTGTGTTTAATAGGTGTGCCGGGATTTGGTCTCAAGATCAGGGGGGTAAACCATGTATTCTGCCTTCCTTTACTGTAAGATGCTAGTGTAGAACACTGGAGCTTAGTTCTGTCAGTGCTTTCTTCAGTCGAATTAGAATTCATCTACATACATTAGCAAACGCCATAGTTGATTTTTTAAAATAATGAAATCCTGCACTTTTGAGTTTTGGTCAGTTGCCTAGCAAGAGAGGAAATTAGGTAGGGACTATGCATATTTTTCTGCTTAAATAGCAGGAAGCTTGAGGAAAAGCTGTTGATGAGGTCACAAAGCAGAAGGTAGTCTTTCAAGATCCAGAAAAGAACATCATACTTATTGAGAAAATAGAGAAGGGCATCATGATGTAGGTCATTGTCTGGAATTGAGATACGTTAGTTTCTACTTTGTGGTATTAACTTCATTCAACTGATTATACTTCTCGGTTTAGTTTAACTATCTATAAACACATTTAGGTTGTCTTCTAGAAAATGAAATTAAAATAGGAATGCTGATAAAAAACTGAATGAAGTCTTGTTTGCATTTCAATGAATAGTACCTCTCAAAGATTGCTGCTCCTTCACATCTTTCTCTTCTTTCCCTCTTCTGTTGTTTTTATGGACAATTTGGCTCTTATCTGTAGTGCTCTTATTGATTTTCCATGAGCCCTTGCATGATGAATCAGCAGACTCTGGAAATAGTGCTTAATTAACATATTATAACATGCTTGTTAGAAAATGTGACTTTTTGGGGTTACTTTATCTGTTCAATTATGCACAAGTCATGCAGAATCTGGAATCGATGCCCTTAATCAACTTCTTGAGCATGATTCTTGTTCAGGNNAATCTCTCTCTCTCTCTCTCTCTCTCTCTCTCTCTCTCTCTCTATCTATCTATCTATGTCATCTCTTAATGTTAATTTAGAACTGTTATTCTCTAGACATGGTCAGTTCCCAGCTGAAGCTTCATAGGTTTCACACTGGTCGTGAATCCAGGGTTGTGACAGCTCTTACTCTTTTGAAGACTCACCTTTTCAGGTAAAGCTTCTATTGTTAATGTTCCTAATAGGCATAGTAGTGTCTTCGAGTGCATTAAAAAAATCAATCCTAGAAGCCTAACTATGTTCTCTTTACCAGCTACCAAGGCCATGTCTCAGCTGCTTTGGTCCTTGGTGGTGTGGATGTCACAGGGCCCCATCTGCATACTGTAAGTAGTGTTCACATTTATATTTGTGTATAAGTATGTATATAACTGTATGTGGGCGTGTGTGTGTATGTATTTTTCCCCATTGTCATCAAAGTTCCACTATTTGGTCAATCGATCGCCTCTCAGATTTATCCACATGGATCAACTGATACTCTGCCATATGCTACAATGGGCTCTGGCTCCCTCGCAGCAATGGCTATCTTTGAGTCAAAATACCGGGAAGGGATGAACGTAAGTTTGTTTCTTTCAGCTAGAGTACTTTGCTGCATTTGGCTGGTAGATGTATTATGAATCCTGAATGTTGAGGGGAATTTGTTGCAGAGGGATGAAGGGATAAAGCTAGTAGCAGAGGCCATATTGTCCGGAGTATTCAATGACCTCGGTAGTGGCAGCAATGTTGATATCTGTGTGATAACAAAGGTCAGCTTTCCTTTATTGTTAGACCATTTTTTGTTTTTGATAGCATGTGGCTTCTAAACTCTTATCTTTATTGTTAGGGAAACACGGAGTACTTAAGAAACCATTTGTCGCCTAATCCCCGCACCTATCCACAAAAAGGTTACTCATTCCCCAAAAAGACTGGTTAGTGTTCTCAGACTTGTCAACATGCAATGTAATAGAGCAAGTAACATGGTAATTTGAATTATGAATGGAATTTTGCTAATGCGTCGGCTGGAATTCTTTGGCTTGCAGAAGTTCTCCTTACAAAGATTACCCCATTGAGAGAGATTGTACAAGTAATTGAAGGTGGAGATGCCATGGAAGAATGACTTGTATTGCAATGATAAAATCCATTCGTGAACTATTAGTGTCAAACAATTACATGAGTATTTTAAGTGTTGAACAATCTTCAATTGCATGTCTAAATGAAGTACTCTGTGTTATCAGATGTAGCTTCCAAAGAAACTCCTTGCTAGAAAACGAATGATTGGTTTGATTTGAAGAAAGGATTTTGTTGTTTTTGTCACCCTTGTGCTGTCAATAATTTTGAACCACTGACTTCCAGGATCACATGTTGTGTCATTTGTGCTCAGACACTTGCATGTTTGTGTGACAATAACATTGTTGGAATCAACATCCAAGCAAACACTAGTAGCATCTTGTAGCTTAGAAGACAGGTGCATCTTAGAGTCCGAGATGATTTCCCATTTTGAGCTGTCATCACTGCATGTTATACCAAGTTTTGCTGGCTCCCCAAGCTTATCTGCTTGCAGGCAAAAGTAAGTTCCGATGACTGTCAGTGTTTTTTGGGGAGCATACCTCCATGCTGCAGCCTCAGAGCATGAAACTAACTCCAATGGCTGCAGAAATGAGGTTCTTCGAACACAAAGCCCCGTCTTTGGATGGAAAATCACTTTATGGAGACGAGTCTCGGTATATCCTGGTCCTGCATTTGAACCAAGGTAAATGCTTAGTTCTTTTTTCATAGATAACTTCTAACGATTATGTTATTGTGTGTCGGATCCTCCAAAATTAGTGCATTTTTGGAGGATCTGACATTTTTGAAAAGTCAGAGCAACATAGATGTTACCACTTCAGCTTATACCTTGGAATGGAGAGCGAATGGCTGAGATTCTTTCCAGAAAGCTTGAGTTCCTGATATCACGCCAGTTCCAATCTAAAACCCCATAGTACTCATTCAGTCCCACAACCCCATCTCTCAAATAATAGCTCCCAACAAGTGTCCAGAGTGCCCAATCAAAGTCAAGTTCAGCTGCCAGCCCAAGAAAGCAATTGAAATACCTATTGTCATTCACATTAGTGCCTCTTTGATCCACTCCAAACTCGCTCACAAACAATGGGTAGCCTTGTTCTAACACAAATGTTCCTTTGCTCACCATGTCATTCAACACTAGTCCGCATGCTTGGTTTGCATTGTCTCCTGACCAAGTATCTCCATCTGTGAAACCGTATCGATGAATCTCATAAACTAGCTTGCCACTGAATGTCAAGTTTACTGGTCTTTTGTGCAAGAAAGAAAGATCCTTGTCGAAACTTAGGCCGGATAGAATAATAAGAACATTGGGATTAGCTTCATGCACTGCTTCAGCTCCTTTCTGCATGTACCTGCATCAAAAACCACCACTTTAATTGGTGAACCATAGCAACAAATATAAAATTTTAAGCATTCAGGCGTGGTAAAATGTTTGAACATAAACTGCATTCACGGTGATGTGTTGGAACTTAACCCAATTATATACATTGTTTAGATGATTTTCAACTATATATGTAGTGCGTGCTGCAACGGAAGTCATTTTCAGGAAAATATTAATATGTAGATTTTCAACTATGTTTAGAAGATTTTTCAAGAAGAAGTCATTTTTTGGTGTTTGGTTACCACAGAATGTTTTCCATTTAACATCAAAAGGTAGAAATAAGTTATTTTTCTTATACATATTATTATGGTTTTTAGCATTATATACTTGCTTTAACTATCATGTAGACAATATTATTGATCTCTAATGCTAAAGAAATTCATCAATACACTGTTTGATTTACTTATAGTATATATATCATCAGGAAAAAGAATTCATTCATCAACCAAAATCAGAAAGCATTTTCAAGAAAATATTTTTCACTCACTAATTAAAAATTGGAAAATGTTTTCAATCTTTAATGGGAAACTTTCTCAAGATAAGTATTTTTATGAAAGATTAATTCCGCTATACCAAAAATATTACTCTCTCCGTTTCAGTTTAAATGACATATTTTCCTTATTAGTCCGTTCAAAAAAGAATGACATATTTCTATATTTAAAAATAATTTAACTTTAAACTTTTTATTTTACTCACTTTACCCTTAATGAGAAGCTTTTATAGCCACACAAATAAATGACCCAACAAAGCTTTTACCTACCACATGTTTCAAAATTCTTGTTTTCCCCTTAAATTTGTGTCAATAGGTGTAGTGCAGATGCACCATGCCTTCAACATGTAGTCAAAATTCAGAAATTTTGATAGATTGAATAGTGGTATATACCTGTACCAATCATGAGCATTTTGTAGAGGTCCACGAAGTTCATTTCGTAAGCTCATGCCTACTACATTGTTAGTACCCTTGAAAATAGTGGCTACTTTGGTAAGGCCTTGGAGCCAGAGGTCAGGGTCAAAGTACTTATCTCCAAAGAAACCATTGCCATCGAATCTGCTGCAGCACCAGCCAGGCTTGCTTATGTGATTATCTAATATGATCATTACATTGTTTTTTGCAATGCTAGCCACCACTGCCTGTCATACATATACATTCCTATTGTTAAATGGATAATAATTGGACATACTATATATGGTAAAGTCAACAACTGAAAAGAGTATTGAAATAAGAAATTAGCTAATGGAGGAAAAACTAAACGTCTCAACAAGAATGACACTGTTACTATTTGAGAATATAATATTATCAATATTTTTACTTATATAAAAATTGTGATGTACAATATATTTTGTGTAGTTTTTAAGTAAATGCATGAATGTTGTTTTTAAAATATAAATACTCCCTTCGGTCCAAAATAAGTAATTTTTTGGTCTTTTTCTTGTGGTCCAAAATAAGTGATTTTTTCAGATTTCAAGAATGAATTAATTATTTTTTTCCTACATTGTCCTTGGAGTAAATAGTGTTGGAATATGTGTTTGGAGTGTTTATGTGAGATAGTAAAGGTTAATATAGTCAATTCCATTGCTAATTAATGTTAAAAGGTGGATTTCTTAATCTGTGTAAAAATATCCAAAAAATCACTTATTTTGAACCGGAGGGAGTAGTATCAATCTATAGATCAACACTGATACTTAGATGGATTAACTGTCATATTTTGCACTACGTCATTCTGTTGGAACGGAATTTATAAATTTCATAATTTGTGTTGGGATTGTTCTACTTGGTCAAGTGGACCTAGATCTAATTACTACTCCCTCCAGTCCAAAATAAGTGATATTTTGGATGTTTTCACACAGATTAAGAAATTCATCTTTTAGCATTAATTAGCAATAAAATTGACCATATTAATCTTTACTATCTCACATAAACACTCCTAACACATACTCCAACACTATTTTCTCCAAGGACAATATAGGAAAAAAATAATTAATTCATTCTTGAAATCTGGAAAAATCACTTATTTTGGATCATAAAAAAAGGTTAAAAAATCACTTATTTTGGACCGGAGGGAGTACTTTTTAGGATGCACCTTTTTAAGAAATAAAAAGGAGTAGTGGCGTGCAAGAAAAGTTGATATTATATTTGTTGGGGGCCGGTCACCATCAGTACAGCGTCATTGGTACGTAATCTACTTATAGATAAAATAGAATAAAGCAAAACGGATTGAATCAGCTATTATAAAATGGTTTTTAAGATTCCAAACAAAAGTGTTTTCAGTGAACGAATAGAGTAGCTCAAAGCAACATTTCTCTATTTGATTCTTTCCAAACACACACAAAAAAAAGTTCAAGATACTCTTTCACTCAAACAATTTAAACAATTTAGTTGGTCTGTGAAAATATTCGACATTTTAAAAGGAACACGAGTTGATAGGTTTTAAATGATTTTAAAATATTGTGTTTGATCTCTTTATAAAAGATTACACTGGATCTATATTATTATATAGTGATGGCGATGGTGGAAAATGACATGGATCCAAGTGGACAATAATTATGGGATGGAAGGAATATATACTTTCGGCAAAAGTCTTCCATTAACATAAAATAATGCTAACCGTATTTTTCCTTTTTTTCGGAGCTAACCCTACATTGTTGATAAACTAGGTTTAGGTGTCCCCAATTGAGATGTGACTTCTAACCACCTCTCTACCTATCATTTATCTTACACTCTTGGATCATTGTTCCTTATCGTTTTATAATGTATTTTATTGTATTGTATCGTATTGTACCGTATCGTTTTATGAATACAATGTTTGGATAGATTGTATTGTTTGTTATTGTTAAATAATATTTTGTTGTTTGGTTTGACTGTATCGTACTGTACTGTAACTGATAAGTTTATTAAAATACCCTCAATTTTTTAAATATTAAATTTATCAAAATTATGTATACAACCAGGAACAACCATCCAAACAAGCTGTTATATTTCTCAACTTGTTGTTTGAGCAAGAAAAAAGATTAGCATAAGTCACTAGTCAAGCAACAAACCATCAATCAATCATTAAGTCATTTGTAAAGTAATTACAGATAAATTTATGTCTTAACATAAATGATACTGTAACTAATCTTGAAATATACTGATAACGTAAAAAAATCTTTATACAGTTAGTGTATGTAACTTAAACTCGGAATACAAATTTGTTACCTGATAAGCATCGAGGACAGAGAGATCAACAATGGAAGGATTGTTAGCTTGAAGACCAACAATGGAACCAAACAGTCCAAGGTTCTTGAAAGATTGTCTTACAGTTATTGATCCCAAAGATTCATTAGTAAACAAGAAGAGAGGCCAAGTAAGTCTAACACAATTAAAACCCATGTTGATAATAGCTTGAGATATTGCATCCACTGGCTGTTGGTTTAGCCCTTCTGCCACCATAACATCCATATGTGACACCCAATTTACACATGCCAGTTTCACTCTTTGCCCTGTTGAGTTCACTATCCATCTTGATTTTGTATGAAGTGGCTGTGATGAAACAGTAACATGTTGGTTGATGATCAAAACAAATAGAAATAGATGAATGTTGAGGGAAGAGGAAGATGATGGCGACTTCCACATATTTTACTAAGTCTTTTCTGTTGTTTTTAGGACTCTTGGGCCATTTTCCTATGGGGAGATGACTATTTATAGCTAAAGACCAATAATACAATAAAACCCATACTATCTCATTAATTTGAAAGTGATAGTTTTTCTCAAAAAAAAAAAAAAAAAAAAGAGAAAAACTATCACTTTCAAATTAATGAGATAGTATGGGTTTTATTGTATTATATTGGTCTTTAGATATGTGCGTTGTATCATATGTCAACAGTGCATACCTTTTTTAAATATATAAATAATATCAAAACATAATGAGTAATTAAAATTTTAAAAGGAAAAAGTTGAATTTGATGAGCAGTAAGCCTATTCAATTGATTTGATCGCCGATCAAAATTATAGTTTGTAGGCTCTACACAACTAATTCAATTGGTATAACATTTTTCTTACGTAACTAGTATACCTACCCGTGCGATGCGCGGAAAATATTAAATGAAAGTAATTTCACCAAAATTCCTATCTTATCAATATTGTTATTTTTACTAATCTATTGTTGGACTTTCTTACAGCCCTAATTGTACTATACTGCACTATAAGCTACTTTACTTTGTATATTGCAAGCAATGAACTTTATATTTGTATAAATTAAATTAACCGTTGAATGCAAAATTATTTTTGAGAAGCTCCACGCATTCTTCATATTGTGAAGGAAATATTGCATGAATAGTCATGCTAATTGGCTTTCAACTGTGCAATTTCAAGTGTTAGAAAATATAACAGAATATAGGGACGAAATAATTAGGCTTTGATAGTGGTCACTGTCCTTAAGGAATTTAAGCCTCCCAATTTCGTTGCTGCAGGGATTATGGCAGAATTCCTCCAGGATTTTACAAAGCCTCTGAAATTCGAGCACCAGCAATTAACTCGAATTTCCACTTGAACAAATTTGGTGAATTGAAGATAGCAGAAAAGAAGAAGATACTTTGTTGCTTTTCTGATGATTTTTGTTTTGGAGAAGAAAAGGGTATTTATAAACCCTTTAGGTGTCTGTTAGGACTAACAGACTCAACATTTGCCAATAGGCACATTTTAATACCAAAAGTCACCTCTTTTCAAACCCTTTAAGTGTCTGTTAGGACTAACAGACTCAACCTTTGCCAATAGGCACCTTTTAAAACAAAAGTCACCTCTTTTTAAAATTAAAACATTTTTTTATTAATTAATAAAATTAATAGATGACTAAAAGAAATAAATTTCGGGCTATTTAATTGGCCCAAGTGCCCAATCTTGACTATTAATAATATAGCCAAATTCTAGTTCCCTCCAAAACATCTTTAAATTATTCAAATCATGTAAGACAAAGAAGTGTTTTTAAACACTTCTTCCTTTCTTTCTTTTTCCAATGAGGGACAAAGCAACCTCTTCTCAAATACTCCCATCAAAACACTAACTAATATAATATCAAGTACAAAGGAAAGACTCTGATTTAGAAGTTGTAGTATCTCAAAAGTTGTTCACAATACATAATAACTGGACGTGTATATAAATAGGAACAACATAGAGTTGAGACTTAAGTATGTCAATAACATCATCACCTCACTTTTTTTATCAAGCCATTCAAGAATATTAAAAAAAATGTATGGCTAAGGATCAGAATTCAGTGACAGCAACATATTCATGGAAAAAGATAAATATGTAAAAAACCTGTAAAATAAAATTGTCGAGAATAAACATCCAACTGACAGCATAAAGACTGATATTAATTGTTGTATCTGCACAAACTATTTTCCAAAACTGTTTTCCAATAACAACAATAACAGAATCATGCTAAGAAAAAAACGATCTCCAAAGAGAGCTGATAATAGAAGAAATTATGGAAAGAAGAGTGTAAGTGAGAAATTGATCTTGCACGTCTAAAATGTAAGGTCAGTGATATGAACTATTAAATGGATGTTCCCTACTTAAACTTAGAGTGCCAGTCATTATTGGGATTGTATGAAATACTACTTTTGTCTTCACTCGCATTTAAATCATTTATATGCATTTTAAGGATTGTTCTATTTTCAGGAGCGAATCAGCTATTAAAATATAAAGAGAGTTTTATGTTTCAAGCTTTTATGAACGAAAGCTCAAGTGTCATGTTTGCAATCCTATTTCACAAATTTTCAGAGTAGTACTTGCGAATTCCACGTATAAATACTTGTAATGTAAGCGTAAAGCATAAATTCGAAGAATTTTATGGAATACAGTTAAAATCTGTTGATTCTAAAGAATCTTTTTTTGTCTCTTACCTTGTTACCACGATCTTCACATGAGTCTCTTCTTGCATTCACAATATTAGTATACTACATCGTTCCTGTGTTAATTTAAGAAGTAGAACCTGCCAATTCATAAAAATAAATAATTATTTTTGTTATTTCCATATATGGGTAAATCAATATACGAAATAAAGTGTATGCAGACCTTATCCCTACTTATGAGGAGTAAAGAAGTTGTTTCCGAAAGACCCTCGGCTCAAGAAGACGAAAATAGACCGAGCCAAAAATACATCCAAATGAGCAACTGTGACAATCGAATAAGATAAGAACCAGCTATACCTGAGTTGATAATGGCAGAGCTTAAAGACTTTTTAGAACTTCAATAGAAGGAATAAAATGACAAAGCAGCGTGACTTTGCAAAAAAGTACTCACCACTTGACTCTAAACCCCTTGCAAGCATGTTCCCTTTGGTCTCTTTAACAAATGTGGGTTGTTTATTGTCACTACCTTGGTTTTGTATTGATGCCAAGCTAGAACTCTTTTATAGTCTCCTGTCATTTATTAATACATTGCCATTGTTCACAACCCTCACATAAGTAAATGTACTCCTCGGCAGATGCCCGTTGTGTTCAACAGTTTTCATACTTAATTATAAACTTCTCATTGGAACCAACTTTTGACTTGTTTCTCTCTCTTTCAGAAAGCATTGGAGAAGAGATCAAATTAAGGGATAACTCAGATGTAGATGACCCAAGATCAGAGGAGACATTATTCTCATCCTAGGAATTGGCATCACAATATTTTTTCTTCCCAATTTTATGTTTCATTCGTTTGTGTTTTTTCTTCCTGTTCAATTCAAGGCTCGATCTAAGATCATAAAACTGAGACGCATCTTGGTAACACGACTGTTGAAAGACTTCCTTTTGGCTTTCAAGAAGGACATAAATGTGACCTCATTAGTAAAAAAAAAAGGAAATGAAAACTCCTTCTTAAAACAGGGCGCTCGATGAGATTTGAACCTGAACCATCGTCACAAATATAAATCAGATATAACTGCCTATATTACCCAACTCGTCTACATTACATTAGATTCCAGGAGTGTAGCCACACTTTTAATTGTATTTTAAATATTGTTCAAGTTATAAAATCCACCATCAGGTTTAAATTTTAATATTGTTCAGGTTATAAAATCCACCTATGGCCACTATATTTCCCGAAATACCTTATCTACAAATCAGAACGAATATATGGTAACTAAACAATAAAATTTTTGGTGATTAGAGAATTTTTTTTTATCAAGTCCCCGGTGGTTCTTATTAGGAGCTCTAATATAATTCAAGTTAATAAACTTCCGATCCAACCGTCTTTATGGATTTCATATTCACCTATATTTGAAGGCGTTATTGAAAAGTTATTACCAATGTGTTATATCTCAGTTGGTAAATATAGTATAAAACTCATCGGATCAGGTATTGGCTAAAAAAAGTTTATAGTTCAAGCAACTAATTTAGTAGTGTGAATTTAATGTATTTCGAGCTCAGCAGATGAATTTTCATGGTTTAAGGACATATCATTGAGTGTTTGACCATGCACTGAAAATTCAAAGACCTTGATATACTCTTCAGGGATAACATAAGCTAATAACTGTATCTGAAGATTTTGAAACTTTACCTATAAATAGGCTGGGGAAAAAAGATAAAATTATGTAAATGACTGAAAGCATACCTCCAAAGACTGAAACTTTTTCCCTTACTGTTGTATGCAACTATGCATCGAATTCTTCAGTAAAATAAAAAAACCAGTGAGTGCACGAACACATAAAATTATTATAAAAGTAAAATAGGTATAAAACCTTTTTGAATACTCTATGAGATTATATTATGAAGTTAATCCACCAATTACCACAAAACTACATTATTTCCAGCACATTTGGCTCACTTCTGCAAATTTTCCTGTATATTATGAATTGGATAGATCACTTGACACTCTTTATACTTTAAACATGTACACTTAAGTGCAAAAATAGATAAACAACATTAGAAAATACTTCGCACATTCAATTATACCAATCCACACTCAAAAGGGTAAACTTGTAATCATATGTGTAAGGTAAGATGAAGACAATAAGGATTGTACCAAGTGAAATAGACAGGAGGGTTACCAAAGATGGAGCAAGAACCGACATCTATTGTGAGAGGAGTTGGAGAAGAAGCGGAAATAGAAGAAGAAGGGAGAGTTGAACGAACTTCATCGAATCGCTCTCAATAGTGAAAATTTCCATACCTGCTAAATGCGACCTAGTTCCCATTGTTGCTGTGAAACATATTTTGTATTTGACAACCACCAATTGGGTCGTCTTCTGTCGCAATCTGTCATCGGCATTGTTTTCGACCTGGTCATCATCTGTACAAATGTACTGCCATTCATATCAATGGAAATTGTAGAACAATTTAGGTTCTACGATATGGTCATCATTTGATGAAATTAGATGAGTTTTAAACTGTTCATACGAAGAGAAGAGAAACTGATCTCTGCAGCAGTTTTAACTGTATTATCCTTTTTGTACGCTTGATTTTGCAATTTCATGAGATCATGGGGGGTTTCTTACTTTTAATCTAATTTAATTTAATCAATTTCCCTTTTCAGAGATAGAAAAAACGTTATTTGTGCCATGTATGAGCAGTTATTTTTTTAAAATTTAAAAATTCTGAAATTTTTAATTTTGAAAAAAGAAAAGAACGTGTCTTTACATTTTTTTAAATAGATTTGAAACTCCAACAAAGTTGGAGAATTGTCCAAAAAATTTACATGTGTCAGTTTAATATTCGTCCTTTTT